CCAGGAGCGATCCGAGAGCGCTCCAGGAGAGTCCAAGAGGGTCCCCCCCCTCAGTCCCAAGCAATTTCCAAGAGGGCGCCAAGGGGGGCATCAGGTCGTCCCGAGAGGGCTCCAAGAGGGCTCCGAGAGAGCAGAGGCTCGCGCTGTCAAAACCGACGTTTTGACAGCGCGAGCCCCCTGGCGCCAGGAGCTTCAAGAGCGTTCCGAGAGGGCTCCAAGAGAGCACCAAGAAAGCTCCACTCAGGCCCAAGAGGGCTCCAAAAGAGCGGATAGGAGAGTTTAAGGGCTTCCCGAGAGGGCTCCAAAACGCCCAGCGAAGGCAGAGGCTCGCGATGTCAAAACAAACGTTTTGAAAGCGCGAGCACTTGGTGCCAGGAGCTCCAGGAACGCTCCCAGTGCGCTCAGGAGCCCGGGAGAGGGCCTCAGGAGAGTTTTTAGAATACCCCTCGAGCACAAGAGGGTCCCAAGAGTGCGCATAGGGAGCCTTCCGGTCGTCCCGAGAAAGCTCCAAGAGAGCCCGGACCAGACAGAGGCACGCGCTGTCAAAACATACGTTTTGACAGCGCGAGTCCCCTGGCGCCAAAAGCCCAAGAACCGTTCCCAGAGCGCCCACGGAGCCCGGCACAGGCTGTCGACAGGCCTGTGGTAGGCCTGTGCACAGGCTATGCACAGGCCTGTCGCGGTGCGCGGGCTTCCTCAGAGGCCCGCCACAGGCCTGTGTACAGCCTGTCGACAGGCCTGTGGCAGGCCTGTGCGCAGCCTGTCGACAGGCCTGTGGTAGGCCTGTGCACAGGCTATACATCGGCCTGTCGCGGTGCGCGCGCCCCCTCAGAGGCCCGCCACAGGCCTGTGCACAGCCTATCGACAGGCCTAGCACAGGCATATCGACAGGCTATGCACAGGCCTGTCGCGGGGCCCATGCTCTCTCGAAGGCCCGCCACAGGCCTGTGCACAGCCTGTCAATAGGCCTGTGGTAGGCCTGTACACAGGCTATGCACAGGCCTGTCGCGGTGCGCTGGGCCCTCTCAGAAACCCGCCACAGGCTTGTGCACAACCTGTCGACAGGCCTGTGGCAGGCCTGTGCACAGGCTATGCACAGACCTGTCGCGGGGCCCGGCCCCCTCAGAGGCCCGCGACAGGCCTGTTCACAGCCTGTCGACAGGCCTGTGGTAGGCCTGTGCACAGCCTGTCGACAGGCCTGTGGTAGGCCTGTGTACAAGCTATGCATAGGCCTATCGCGGTGCGCGGACCCCCTCAGAGGCTCGCCGCAGGCCTGTGCACAGCCTATCGACAGGCCTAGCACAGGCCTGTCGACAGGCTATGCACAGACCTGTCGCGGGGCCCATGCTCTCTCGGAGGCCCGCCACAGGCCTGTTGATAGGCCTGTGGTAGGCCTGTGCACAGGCAATGCACAGGCCTGTCGCTGTGCGCCGGGCTCTCTCAGAGGCCCGCCACAGGCCTGTGCACAGGCCTGCGGCAGGCCTGTGCACAGGCTATGCACAGGCCTGTCGCGGGGCCCGGGCCCCCTTAGAAGCCCGCCACAGGCCTGCGCACAGCCTGTCGACAGGCCTGTGGTAAACCTGTGCACAGGCTATAATACACAGGCCTGTCGCGGTGCGCGGGCCCCCTCAGAAACCCGCCACAGGCCTGTACACAGCCTGTCAACAAGCCTACCACAGGCCTATCGACAGGCTATGCACAGACCTGTCGTGGGGCCCGGGCCCCCTCAAAGGCCCGCCACAGGCCTATCGACAGGCTATGCACAGGCCTGTCGCGGCGCGCCGGGCCCCCTCAGAGGCCCGCCACAGGCCTGTGCACAGCCTGTCGACAGGCCTGTGGTAGGCCTGTGCACAGGCTATGCATAGGCCTGTCGCGAGGCGCCGGGCCTCTGAGAGGCCCGCCACAAGCCTGCGCACAGCCTGTCGATAAGCCTGTGGTAGGCCTGTGCACAGGCTATGCATAGGCCTGTCGCGGGGCGCCAGGTTCCCCAGAGGCCCGCCACAGGCCTGTGCATAGCCTGTCGATAGGCCTGTGCACAGACTATGCATAAGCCTGTCGCGGGGCGCCAGGCCCCCCAGAGGCCCGCCACAGGGCTGTGCACAGCCTGTCGATATGCCTGTGGTAGGCCTGCGCACACCCTATGCATAGGCCTGTCGCGGGGCACCGGGCACCCCCGATGCCCGCCACAGGCCTGTGCACAGCCTGTCGATAGGCATGTGGTAGGCCTGTGCACACCCTATGCACAGGCCTGTCGCGGTGCGCTGGGCACCCCAGGGAGGCCCACAACAGGCCTGTGCGCAGCCTATCGACTGTGGTAGGCCTGTGCACAGGCCATGCACAGGCCTACGCATAGGCCTGTACACAGGCTGTACACAGCCCTACGGACCTGGAGCGCACAGGCCCCGAGACGGCCTATCCACAGGCCTATCGACAGGCCTGTGCACAGGCTATGCACAGGCCTATCGACAGGCCTATGCACAGGCTGTGCATAGACCTGTCACAGACCTGTCGACTGACCCATCGATAGGCTGTGCACAGGCCTGTCACAGGCCTGTCGATAGCCTGTGCACAGGCCTGTCAAAGGCCTATCGACTGGCTGTGCACTGCCCTACCGCATAGGCCTGTCACAGGCCTACGCACAGCCTATGCACAGGCCTATGACAGGCCTGTGCACAGGCTGTGCAGAGGCCTCTGACAGGCCTATGCACAGAGTGTACACAGACCCACAGGGGACCTATCATAGGCTAATTATGCATAGGCTGTCGCCGGGATTGTTGAGTGGACCCCGGGAGAGGGGGGGGGCCCTTAGCCTTAGGTGAGTAGCCCCGGTGGGACCGGGCTTCCAGTATCTGAAAAGAACAACTGGCTGCAGGCAAGGAATTTCCACACGATTCCGCTACAACTGGCGACCCTTTTTAAATATTTGTTTGAGTGCATCCGGCGCCTTGGGCCCTTCCATCGTTCTCCAGAGGGGGAGCGCCCCGAGAAAGCAACGCACACCTGCGCAAAGCAGCAATTCGCGTGTCCACCCGGTGGGTGGGGGGGGGGGTGCGGGCCCCGGTGCTTAATCCACCCGCTTGAAGCGGCCGCCGGAGCACCCCAAATCTGGTCTTTGGGGAAGAGGGGCGCAAGGGCCCGCGCCGATCAGCGCAACAAGAAATAAGAACCAGGTGCCTATCGAGACGGCTCAATTGGGCCCGACTGCGGCGCACACCTCACGCACGCTGCGCCTACCCGAGGCCTGGACGAACCAAAGCGTGCCCAACCCTTACTCAAGGCCCACCTGGAGTTAAGCCCAAGGCCAATCCAGGGACTGCCCAATGCCAACCCACGAGCCCAGACCCCCGACGTAATGATTTTTTCATTACGTCGACCCCCAGAGGTCCCGACCCTTTCCCCATGACCGGCTTTGCATCCTGAGTCGTTTTTTGACGCTCCCGAGGCCCGGTGAGGGCCCCAGGAGGCCGAAAATTAGGAAAAAAAAAACGTCATGATTTTTTCATTACTCGAGGGGGTCTGGGAGCCTGCCCAAGGCCTACCCAAGGACAGCCCGACGGCCTACCCAATGCCTGCCCCAGGGAGGAGGAGGAGGAGGAGGAGGAGGAGGAGGTGAGGAGGAGGAGGAGGAGGAGGAGGAGGAGGAGGGGGAGGAGGGGCAGGAGCATGAGGAGGAGGCAGGCCCACCTGGCGGCCTGCCAAAGCCTTCGACACGGCCTGCCCAGGGCCCGGCTGAGAGGCCCGCCCACGGCCTATGGTCGAGGCTTACCAGAGGTCTCTCTACAAGGCCTGCCCGGGTCCTACATTTAGCCAACCACATGCGAGCACCTTACTCGTATGGCGCTCTCAAGCCCGTGCCTTTTCACTACGCGTGTCAACGTTTCGCCCCTGCTGGGGCTCGTCAGGACTCGAATGAAAATGGCAGCGGCATGCGAACACAGCAAGTGCATGATCGACACAATACTGCGTGCAATGCGATACGGCAAACAAAAACACATGCATGCATGCGGCGATCTCTCAACAACACCCCTGTATTGGATGACTGCTGCTTCCGCCGCCGCGAGGGGCAACAAATCGTGCCCCCCCGCCCTCACTTGAACGAAGGATTGCAAAAAAAAGATTGCAAAAAAACGAAGGATTGAAAACAAAAAAAAACAGGATTGCAAAAAACCCGGTTCTTACATTTAGCCGACCCTGACTCCTGATCCGCCCTACTTTGGGCGATTTCGAAAGCAGGGCGGCAATTTCCGCCCCACTTTTGAGCCCCCTTGGAGCGTCGATTTCCGCCCTTGCGGGCTCCTTTGGCGCCGATTGCCGACACCATTTTAGGCCGGAAAATCATCCAGAGTACGGCGGATCAGGAGCCAGGGAACCACATGCGAGCACCATAACGAATGTGAGCACCCAAATGCGAATGACCACAGTGCCCGCGCTCGTCGTACAAACGCCACGGACAACCTGACAACCTGACAACCTTCACGGCGCCCCCCTGCGATCTGCGGGTGCACGCCGCTGTGCGCTCACCGCTCGCGTAACAAAGCTGCGCGCCAACTCGCTAAAGCAGATGGTGATAATGAAAAGGCAGCAGAGGCACAATGCCGCTAGAATTATGTCGGGCGTGTCCCCCTACAGGGGGATTTTCGACAAAAATAAAGAATACCCCAAACACACCCCAAAAAGGTCAAAAAATACCCCAAAAAGAGTCCCCAGGCTATGTTTGGATTATTGTTTGACTATTTTGGGGGTATGTTTTATTTTTCGTCGAGCATCCCCCTGTATAGGGGGGACACGCCCGACACAACGCCAGAATCAGAGGAGGAGAGCATTGCAAGCCTTGCGGAGACGTGCTCCGCACATGCTGGGCAGGAGACCCGAGGCAAGACCTCGAGGGCCTCCGACGCGCGCGGCGAGAGAGGGGCCCCCGGGCGACGAGCGCCGCGCCCTCGGCCGCAGCGCCGAGGCGGGAGAGGGCACCGCTGGACCAACTCCAGGCTCAGGTCGGGCCTGTCCACAGGGGGATTTTGGACGACAAATAAAACATACCCCCAACATAATCAAGCTATAGTCCAACAGCAGTCTGGGGACTCTGTGCTGACTATTGGTTTGACCTCTTTGGGGTATTTTTGGGGTAGTTCTTATTCTTCGTCGAAAATCCCCCCTGTAGGGGGACAGGCCCGACTGAACTCTGGGCTCCTCGCTCCCGGGGTCGGCGAGGAGGACGAGGAGGGTGCCTCCATAAAGGACCCCTGACCCTCTGGGAGCGGACCGAAGTTGGGAGGGCCAAAAAACAATACGGACAGGGGCTCCTCCTCCTCCTCCTCCTCCTCCTCCTCCTCCTCCTCCTCCTCCTCCTCCTCCTCCTCCTCCTCCTCCTCCTCCCCTCTCCTCCTCCTCCTCCTCCTCCTCCCCCGCCTCCTCCTCCTCCTCCTCCTCCTCCTCCTCCTCCTCCTCCTCCTCCTCTGGCGTGCCAGACCAAGCCGACCTGATGCTAAGCAGTTCAGTGTGCCTAACAAGGTAAGATTGGGCAGTGCCAGCACCGTCTGGAAGCCATCTGGGACCAGCTCTGATTCCACTGGCATCAACTGGGCTGCATCCATGAAACTCTTCAACTGTCCACCGCGTGCCAGCACGCGTGGAAACGGAGTGAAACTACGCGGAGGAGGCTAGAGATGCTGCAATTCATTCCTGAGAGGTCTGGCCGGGAGACCGCTAGGCGTTCCCAACGAGCTTTTGCGGCTACCGCTGTTCCGTCTCCCGCGTGGCCTGGCGGTGGGCTTCGCCTGCGGCAACTCTTGCTGCACCGCGAGCCACTGGATATCGAACAAATTCAAGCGCATGCTACCGACATCGTCCCCGCAAGGCGCCAGGGAGCAGTGAGCCTTGACATCCACGCCCAGGCGGTTCAATTTGCGGAGACGAAATGACAGCCACTTGCTTCTCGGAGCCTTGTGTTGGTCTGGTGGCCCTGCGACCACGGCATCTGTCACCCACTTTTCTAAGATGTTGTACTCGCTCTGCGTGAATAAAACACGAATTGGCGTACGGGGCTCGAAGCTGCCAAAGAGGAACGAGAAAGCAGGGCTGCATGACGTGATCGGCAAGACGTCGTCCCCGTTCCCAGCGAACAGATCAAAGGCCACGTGCATCTCAGAGTCACATGTGCCCGCTACACCAGAGGCGACACCATCGTCGTCATCGAAGGAGTCGACGGACTCTGATCTTTCGGACCCATCCGGGCTTGGCCCAAGCTTGTCGAGTGCGTGGCCTGCTCCTTCCGCGCCCATCGCGGCAAGGTCGCTCTGGTATGCGCGCTGCGTGTTCCACTCGTCTTGCTCCTCGTTGATGCCGATTACGTGAATGAGGTCGTCCCCGCTTCCCAAGCAAGCGTGGAAGATCTGCACCCGGACAGTGATTCCGAGCGTGTCGCGAAGCTTTGTGGAGAGAAGGCCCGCCTGGGTATCCCGCTCGGCGTCATCGGCCTCCGACGGTCTTGTCATGAAATCGGATACCCTGGGCTTCTCGTCCTCTGTCGCAAACTCCGTGAACACTCTGCCATTGAAGCTTTCGGGGTCGCTCTTGCACATCAGCAGACGGCACAGCTGACCGGCACCCTTGGTAATCTCCAGACGAGGCCCCAGATAGATGCAGGCATCGCACGACTTGGACATGAGACGTTCGATGAGAGACGCCTGCTTCGTGGCGTCCGCCTCTCGCACATACACCGCGGCCATGTGCCTCATGACCGAATCCAAACTCCAAAACGCGATCAGAGTAAAGACCGCATACAAGGCCAACACCACAAATGTAAACAAATCCGAATGGCACAGGTACTCCTGAATTGCTTTCAAACTTACAAAGAAACATAATAGAACGGAGCTCAACTTTGGGTTACCACAAACACATGATTGGGAAATCTGGAACATCAATGCTGCACGAAATGGGCTGCCGCCGACTGGAACGGGAAACCCACGAATAGTGTCTGGCACCGCAGAACAAAAAATGACGCTCAAGGCTGCCATGATGTTCAGCGCGTTCAACCAAGCCATTGACGTTGACTTCGGCAACACGCCAAGCATTAGCATCATAGCTGTGGCAGATATATACATGGGGGCAACGTCAACATAACGATTTACCATTCCTTTAGTGCGCCACCCATCATGTAGCTGCACGCTCTGCTCGGCACTTGCAAGGCTGATGTGGCAGAATACACTGATGATCAACTGTCCCACAACATGTATACGCCCGAATGTAAAGAAATAGTAGTTCCGGACTTCTTTTACTTGTGCTTCCAGCTTCCTGTTTTGCCCACTTGCACATCGAAAACAAGTCATACAACGAACTTGGTCGCAACTGAAAAAGCGGATGGCCATGCACAACGAACGGAATTTTGCGCAAATGTGCCTCACACCGAAAACGATCAATACCGTTAATAAGCAGCCATGCATCAACAGTAATGGGTAAGCAGAATATTTGTAAACAATATGTTCAGATTCGACCGACCCCCCAGTACACTCTGTGGTGTCGGACATGGCCTCCACACCAGGAAGCAACTCGTCTCAACTTGAGCTTGAGCCGCTATGGAGCTCAGAGACGGTGTAAATACGAAATCGCCTGGAATGCCGAACAATCCATGACTTTCCTGGAACGTTTCCCGACTCATTCTGGAAATGATCGGAGACTTACCCCGCTGCTTGCATTTGAACACATGGTGCGGCGTTTGCCCTCAAAGAAACAAAGTTCGCCCCATCCAATTCGGACGACATATATGCTCAGCACACGTATTCGCCGGTTTGATCTTTACAGCGTCCAAGACGGCCCACGAGGCTCCAAGATCGTCCCAAGACGGCCGAAGAGCCCCACAAGAGGGTCCAAAGACGGCCCCAAACAGACCCCAGAAAACCCCACGATGGCTCAAAAGGGCACTAAGGTGGCCCACGAAGCCACCCCCGACAACCGCAGAGAGGCCCCCAGAACGGCCTCCGAAGACGCCAGACTGCTCCAGAGCGCCCGAAGACGGCCCAAGACGCTTCCAAGAGGCCCAGGAGAGGCTCCCAAAAGGCTCCAAGATGCCCTCAAGAAGCCCCATGATGCCCCAAGAGGCATCCAAAAGGCCCACAGGAGCACTCCAGATGCCCATGCTCTGCGCCTGAAATCCATCGCAACTCACTCACAAACGAGGTTCCCGCTCGAGACTTCCTCTCTAATCAGGCCTCAAGAGCCCCATAATGACGACAGTTACAAGTTTTGTCAAAGACCCGCTCGGATTACTAACATGAGCTGCGGGCCCTAGTTATAAAGCATCGGTAGGGGCTCCCGCCTGAGATTCCTCGCGATCCACTCACAAACGAGGCTCCCGCTTGAGATGTCTTCCATCTTCCGGTTTCAGGAACCCCAAATTGACGACATGACCCGCTCGGATTACTAACATGAGCCGCGGACCCCATAGGGAGGGGGCTCCCGCCTGAGATTCCTCGCAATTCACTCACAGACGAAGCTCCCGCCCGGGAGTTTCTTCAGATTCACCCCAGAATTAACCAAACGCGACGACAATTACAAGTTTCCGATGACCCGCCTCGTATTCGAACATGAAGCGCGTGCCCCATAGGGAAGGGGTTCCCGCTTGAGACTCCCTCGCGACTCACTCACGGACGTGGCTCCCGCTCGAGATTGTTCCCCGTAATCAAACCACATTTGATGAAAACTAACGACATCAGCAGGTTTCCGATGACCCGCCTTGGATTCGAACATGGAAGCGGGGCGCCCATAGGGAAGGGGCTCCCGCTTGAGAGTTCCCCGCAACTCACTCACAAACGAAGCTCTCGCTCGAGACTGCCGCTAGATTCAGGCGCGAAGAGCCTAACCGCGACGAAACTTACACATTTCCGACGATCCGCCTCGGATTCGAACGCGGGGTGCGTGCCCCATAGGGAGGGGTTCCCGCTTGAGACTTCCTCGCAATTCACTCACATGCGAGGCGCCCTCTCGGTCGATGATGTGTGTGGTACGGTAATACAGATGATAATGGGGGTGCGCGATGGCGATGATGACGATTATGAAAATGATGATAGTGATAACCGGTGATCCTGATGGGGTCCTGACGTGATGAAGACCGAGTGAGTGATGAGTGAATGTGGGTGAATTGAAAAGTGTGGGTGGTGATGATGATGGCGGGCGATCATGACGGGATGGTGGTGGTGATGCTGACGGGGTTGATTGATCATGGTGATGGTTGCTGTGCTGATGATGATGGTGTTGTTGCTGATGATGGTGTAGTGGGATGACAGATGATGCTGGTGGTGATGATGATGGTGACCAGGCCTCCCTCCTCGTGCGTCAGATCACCCGCTGAAAGTTTCACGAAGCGTTGGGGCCCTCTTGGCCGCAGCAGGAGCCCCTGCTTTTGAAGAGCCCTTCGAGCCTTCCTGGCCCACAGGGCCCCTCGCTCCTGAGAGAGTTGAACGCAGAGAGCAAAAGGTCATGCACAAGAAGGCAGTCATGCAAGATAGTGGGGAGGAGGGGGATCGGGGAACTTACGAAAGAGCCTCTCGCTATCCTCTAAGATGATTGCACCACGCAGGGAGGGAAGGGACAATTTTGCCGAAAAAGGGTCCGCAAGAGGACCAACAATCTGATGAATAACATGGGCACCGCCGATCGCTCCGCATCCATACCTGCAGCTGATGGTGCCCTGTCGGTAGCGAGCAGTGGTCGGGCGCGCGTTGTTCGCACTCTTCAGAGTCCAAGAGTAAGCACGTCAACGGAAGGACAGATTTTGCATGCACCCCCAGATACTGTCAAGAGCTTGGCGGCTAATCTCACGCCACTGAAACTCATGAAAGTGATCACGCAGAAGGTGTCGGACCCTTGGCACGAGCAGGTGGCGCATAGAAGGCGGATTGATCTCGCCGAAAAGCTTATTGTATACGTTTCGTTGTATGTCGCGAGTGTCTTCATCGATTTCGGGGCAGAATTTGGCCAGGCTCCTGTAGTTACGTCGCAGCGAGAAGCACACGGATAACTCCATCCATTCCCGTTCCCTAGAGATGGCCAGGCGCTCGGCGTCAACGTTCTCCCCTTGGCAACGCTGAGTTAGGAACTCATTAAACGCACGACTCTCGAGGGCGGCCCGCTACAGACTGGCTGTGCTCATGCATTCCAGGTGCCGCACGCGGACAGGAATACCACGCCTACCAGCAGACCGAACCATGTCAGGATTGAGCGCGTACCTGGGGGCACGCGTGAGCCTCTGGAGCCCGAAGTCCTCGAAGCGCTTAAGTTGTTTGGCAGTTGGGTACGCGCTCGTGATATAGCTGGGGACACTGAGCGTAAACGAACTCTAGCAGACCAGACGCTGAGTGAGCCCAAGACAAAGACTTCTGATATACCCAGTACGCTCAAGGTACTTCTGGCTAGGATAAGTCCAAGACTGACTGACAGGGCCCACCAGGCCCAATCCAAATTCCATGATAGAGCCCGCATCTGGAAATCGAGATCACTGAGATACCAGCTCTAACATTCAGGAACATTGTGCAGACGTCCGTCTCGGCGCACTCGTGAGCAAAGACAAGGACGGTCTTGCCCATGCGCAGCCGAAGATCTGCGAGGTGGCCCACCCGCCACACAAGGTTCAGGATCAGAGGAACAGCATTGACAACGCTGGCACACGCCACTCAAACATCATCGGCGAAGGCACAGGGGGATGCCCTCAATGGGTTCCGCAACTTCTGCACGTGCAAAGCACGGGGCCGAAGGCGGTGGCAAATAACATATCCCAGAGAGGGCCCTGCTTAATCCCACTGGCAATCCAGTATCCAGGCAACTGCTTGCCCCCCAGGCAAATGAAGTCCCCGAGCGAAGCTGCCGAGCCGCGTGCAAGACACGACGGGGAGCTCGACTTGCCTCGGCGCATCGAAGATCCAGGAGTGGGCCAGGGAGGGGAAGGCGGCGCGGATGTCCATCAGCAGCAGACCTGTCCGCGGACAACCTAAGAAGCAAGCAAACTGGATCAGCGCGGCCTCAATCGAAATAGCACTGTCCAAACTATCCCGCCCTTCAGTAAATCCTCTGCGCGCCTCAGAGACAGCGCGTTGCCCTTGGACCTGGGGGGGGGGGCCCGAGGGAACTGGCCCGAATCTCATTGTCGGCGGTGTTGGATAGGGTGATGGGTCGGGTTTTGTCGGCCGGCTCGGCGATTCCCCCTGGGGCTCCAGGAGGGGGGTCTTTCCGTAGAAAAACCCTGCTGCGCAGGAGTATAATATCCAGGCAGAACGCTGAGGCCCATCAGGTCGGTGTACACATCGCACACAATCTCTCTACCAATGGCTCCGCTCTTCTGGCGCGCGCTATATGGAGCTCCATCGGGGCCACAAGACTAATCTTGTTTGGAACCAACAACACCGCGAAGCGAATCGAAGTCGATCGCCCAGGAGACGCCAGGGGGGACTTCCTGATCCTCGGGAGTCATCTCTGCAAGTGTGGAGTCATAGGCGGGGTCGGGTCGGCGCTATCAGCAGCGGAATGCACTCCTCGACAGCGCTTGGCGAGCGCCCGAGCGCTCTCTTCTAAGCCGCCGCAGACTCGCCCAGGGGGGGGGGGGCTCCAACGAAACAAAGACGCCGCCGACGGGGGGGCCGGCATCGGAGGAGCTGATGCAGGTGAAGCGCACGTTCGGGATCGTGGTCTTCTTCCCCTGCCCCTGGCAGCCCACTTGTCTCCGCGTTGGTCAAATCGCTTTTTATCATCCCCAGGAACGGATGAAGCCATAATAATCAGAGAGCGTGCGTCTCGGGATCAACGAAGTCCTGGAGCTCGGAAAATGGCGCGAATACATTGATCGACTACAGGGTTATGCTGCGTGCGAACAACTCGTCACCTTCAAACACGCAGCTACCTTCTGCTCGAAGTTGCCGGGCCCCTTGCGAAAAATTTGGCCCGTGATCTCGTCGCGGGCCGCGAAGAGGCAGTCCTTGAATGCCCGGAGTTTTTGATGGGCGTTGCCAGGCGGGTGAACAGCTCCCAGGAGACCGCAAACATACTTTTCAACGTTCGGGCGCCTGGTGACCCAGGGCGGGATGGAGGGAAAGCCGCGGGATCCAGGGGTAAGCATCACATAGATCCGGACATGATCGGAGGGCTCAGTTTTGCCGAACGAGCCCCTCGGGGCATCCACCGTTTGGGTGAAGGCCCAGCAACTCAGCAGAGGGGGGTTGAAGTGCGCGCGGTCGAGCTCGGCCGAGGATGCCGCCGCGTCTCCCGCAACGAACCAGCGGGAGTCGTCATCTTGGGCCTCCAGGAACTGCGGGAAAACCTTACAGAAATACTGAATCAGGGCCCTGGGCTCGGAGCCGAGGGGGGGGGGGGCCGTCGATGCGTTGCCGAAAATTACACTCCCCGAGGAAATTCCGATAACCCCCAATACAGCATAGACAAAGCCCAGGAGGAGGAAGAGCACGAGCGGCTGTAGCCATGATGCCGCATTTAGCCCGTTGCTGGACACGACATGTGCATTCACGAGCATCATGTCTCCAGAGGGCCCGCAGAGCCCGACTCCAAAGCGTCTGCCTGCGAGAACGACCCGTGGAACGCCGACCTCGTCGAAATCGGTCATTCGCGTCGTCCTCATCGAGATTGCCGCGCCTCCAGCGCGGGCGTCGGCGCGGGGCGAGCCAAAGTGGGGGCAAGAGGGGCGCGGCCGTCGGAGGGTCTCGGGATCTTCCGGGGCACCGCTGGTCCCCTGACGTGACAATGGCGAGGTTTCTAATAACTGAACCTCCGAGAACAGACGAGCTGCCTGCGACGGCCGCCGAAAACGCGCCCAACAAGAGCTCTCGAATTCCAGGGTGCGACACTGAGGGCTCGGCGAATGTGCGGAGGGGGTTCGACCTGAGGCTGCGAGCTGGCGCGAGTGGCAGACCGCCCCCGCCCCCCCCCCAGAGACGCCGGCATCACCTGCTCCGCCTCGGGCAAAAAGATTGGCGAAGGCCAAAAAGTTGACAGGGGCGCGCCTGCAAGCGTCCTTCTCCGAGCCCTTGAGCTTGAGCTGGGCCCTCTCCCCAATGGTCTCGGCGCGAGCCTTGGGGATGCCGAAGCGCACGAGGTGTGGAACGTTGGGGGCGACCTCGGATGTCTTGCCGCACTCGGTGTCCTTCGCCGTCGCGAGCTCCCACGCGTGGTCATTCTCGATCATGCGCAACTGCCCCTGGGACGGGATGTTGCCCATCTTCATCGACGAGCGCCATGCATTCTTCTCCGCGAGGTCGGCCCTGACAAGGGCGCATGGCTGGCCGAGAACGTAACTCTTCTGTCGGCTGTGAAGCGGGCCGTCGCGCCCGACCCTCAGCTCGTGGCACTTCCGGTCACGCGGGTCGGTCCAGGTGATCGCGGGCCCTGTGCTGAGCGCCCAGACCTGGTCGGCCTCCTCTCTGCTGGAGAGCTCGAAGGCACAGGAGTGGTTGAGGTCCCCCCCCTGGAAGGTCACGTGGGCGCCGATATCCTGGGGTATCTTGCCCTTCAGGCGCTGGAAGCTGATCTCCATCTGCGACGCCATCGGCGGCCTCAGGAAGCCACGGACTCTGAGTTTGCACGGGTTAGCATCGTCAGCTCGATGAGCAGCGTTACCTGGGGGCCCTGAAGCGGGCGCTCCTGGTGCGCCTGGGCGTCGACGAACATTCGCTCCACTCTCGCCCTGGCTGGAACTGGAATATGGCTCATTCGTCTCCTCGTCACCCATGGCCACCGCCATCTCGAAAACCGGCGAGCTTGTCGGCCTGACGGTCGAGGTCGGTCTTCATGTCTCTGACGTCTTTGCCACATTTGTCCATCGTTTCGCTCAGCCTCTGGTCTGTGCGCTGGACCTCGCTCATCTGTGTCTGGATCTGGCCCGTGCGCGAGTCGAGTCGGGTGGTGGTCGGCAGCAGGCTGTCCATCGTCAGCATATTGTAAGTTTCTATTTCGATGGCAACCATGCCTGAAAGACGCCTGGCGTGGTCGTGGAAACCACAAGGGGGCGCGCCTTGGCGCACGTCGGGAAATGCGAGGCCGAACCTCAAGACAAAGCTGCTCGAACCTCCCCTCGGCAGCGTCCAAGTTCGGAGCGCCAGCGACACGTTTCGAACTTGAGAAAAAATGGTTTGACCCAAAACGGCTACGGATGATGATGATGATGATGATGATGATGATGATGACGATGATGATGATGATGATGATGAGGATGATGATGATGGTGATGGTGATGTTGATGATGATGATGACGATGACGATGACGATGATGATGATGATGATGATGATGATGATGATGATGATGATGAGGAGGAGGAGGAGGAGGAGGAGGAGGAGGAGGAGGAAGAGGAGGAGGAGGATGGGCTCCTTTTCCTGCGCGGGGTGTCCAGAGATAACAAAAACCTTCGGATGTGGGAAAAAACATACGGTTTCCTCCGGGAATGGTACAAGATTCGCCTCTTAGGGCCGTGTTGGGGGTCGTCATGGGTGTCTTGGCGGCCTCTTGGGCCGTTTGGAAGCCATCTTGGGCCATCCAGAAGCCATCTTCGGCCATCCTGGACCCCCTTGGCACTTATCTGTCAGGAGGCAACTACTGGGAGATCGTCGTCGGATGGGTCGGGATAATGAAGCCTCGTGGGGAGGCTGCTACGTTGGACTAGGCCGCGGATTCAACTGGATTGAGCAAAGTTAAGCCGGATCGAATGGGACGAAGCGGGATTCACAGCGCACTCTGATTCAACCTGGAGATGTCACAGGCGCTGGCAGGTCAGCGCAGGTCAAGCAGCTCAGCGCGGGACAGCGCAGGTCAAGCGATCCCTCGTCCTTGCAAGCCCGCGCACGTTTGTGTGCGGGTCCCGTCGCGCTCTCTCCTCGGCTGAGCCACGCGCTGATCTGCGCTGCTCTGCGCTGACCTGCGCTGACCTGCGCTGACCTGCGCTAGCCTGCGTGCCCTGCGCTGACCTGCGCTCCTGCGCTGTCTCGGGCCCCGAGCGCCTTTCGAAGTTTCTGCAAGGGTTTTTGTTGCACGTTCATGGTTTGCGTGCGCTCCACAAGCGCACTGCGCCCGTTCGCGAGAATATGCAGACTCGTTCCACAATGCCACTGGGCTCGATCTGCTGAAAATCCGAGCTCGCTCCACAAAGCTCTGTTCCAGAAAGGCTCCGTTACGCAGAGCGCGGGGCCCGTGCTACAGAGCGGGGCCCGTCCACAGAGCGGGGCCCGGTCCACCAAGCGGGGCCCGTTCCACAGCGCGGGGCACGCTCCACAGAGCAGGGCCCGCCCCACAGAGCGGGGGGCCCCTTCGCTCCTGGGGGCGGCGGGGGGGGTGGGAGAGAGAGGGCGGTCCGCGAAAAGGAGCCGCGCCCCCAGGGGATTTCTCGGGGGCCTTCTGGGGCTGGCTGGGGGGCCTCCTGGGGCGGAGGGCTCGGAGTTTCGGCTCGCCGTCGCTTCCTGAATGCTTTTCGAGCCCTCTTGGGCATTCTCGGGCCTCCTCGAGGGGCCCTCCTGGGCCGCCCGGCGGCGGTCTCGGGGCTGATTGGGCTGTCTCAGGTTTCGCTCCACGGAGTGGGGCCCGTTCCGCGATGCGGGCCCGTTCGCTCCAGAGAGGCGGGGGGGCGTTCCTCAAAAAGGGGCTGGACATCACTCGGCGGTGGACAGACCTCCCTTCAGTAAACCTCCCCTTGGTGAAAACGGCCCGGGACCGAAACCGACGCACCTGGACCCGCAAAAGTGACGGCCGCGCGACGCCCTCCCGCGAACCGAAAACGGCCAATTCGCTCATCGACGTGTCAGGGTAGGAGGTCCTTCCACCTCCGAATCAGGAGGGTCCCAAGCCCGTTCCACAAGGGGCCGCGGGCGCGCCCCCACAGGGGGCGAACCCCTGCCACCCGCTGAATGTTTAAGCATATAAGTAAGCGGAGGATAAGAAACGAAATGGGATTCCCTTACTACTGGCGGATGAGCAGGGATCAGCTCAGCATGGAGCTTGGGGCCCTCGGCCTTGAATTGTAAAGAAGGCCCCCGGGAGCGCTCCCGCGCCCGCGGGGCGAGCCCCCCACGCAGAGCCCGGCGGGGCGGGGCTCGGTGCACGAAAGCACGGCCCCGCGGGGCTCGCTCCACAGAGCTCGCGGATGCCACGACGATGAACACTCGAACAATCCGACCATTGAAGGTGAGAGGTGTTCAGCATGTGTCAGGCATGTTCTACACATGTCTCGAGCATGTTTTTTTTTTTTTTTTTTTTTAAGACACATGTGAAACATGTGCTAGACATCTGAGAAGTCTTTGGCAGCCCCCGGCTGGCGCTGCGCGCGTTCGCGACGCGCGGAGCGCGACTGACTTCACGCTTCCGCGCCAAACCCCTCGGGACGAAACGAGGGCGAAGGAGCGCGAAGCGCGATTCACTTTGCACCCTCCGCGGAGCTTCGATGCTTCGATGTGTTTGCAATCGCCAGCCCATCGACGCTTCGATTCCTTCAGAAGGACCAGCTTTGCATCCCGAGCCGCTGCTCAGTGCGCCCGAGGGCCCCAAATCGGCCTCCTCCTCTTCCTCTTCCTGCCTCCTCCCTCCTCCTTCTCCTCCTCCTCCTCCTCCTCTTCCACCTCTTTCTCCTCCTCCCCCTGTTGCTCCTTCCTCCTGCTTCTCCTCCTCCTCATCCCTGCTGCCCCTCCTCCTCCCCTGGTTTTCGGTCCTCTTGGAGCCCTATCGGTCCCAGCTTGGGGCTCTCTGAAGGGCCCTCTTGTTGCCCGCTCGGGGCCTCTTGGTTGCCTCTTGGGGCTGCTGTTGGGGCTCTCCGCGGAGCTCGGAGCTGTTGGGACTACGAGAAAGGCCAACGCCAGATAGATCAGTGATACATCTGGTTCGCGGTCCTGTTAGAGCCCTGTTGATCCCAGCTTGGGGCCGTGGAGGGCCCTTTTTGTTGCCCGCTCGGCCCTCTTGGATGCCTCCTGCGGCTGCTCCTGGGGCTTTTTCCGCGGAGCTCGAGGGAGCCCCGAGAAAGGCCAACACCAGATATGCCAGTGATCTATCTGGTGTTCAGTCCCCGTGGCTTCCTCTCAGTCTCGTCTTGGGGATCCGAAGAACCCTCTCATGGACCGCTCAAGTTCTCTTGGAGCCCTCTTTGGATTGCTCCTGGGGCTTCCCGAAGAGCTCGGAGGGCTCCGAGAACGGCCAACACCAGATAGATCAGTGATCCATCTCTGGTATTCGAAGTCTTCTCTTGGAGCTCTGAAGGGCTGTTTTGTTGCCCGCTCGGGCCGGGCGGTTGCTGGAGAGGGAGAGCCCGATCGCCCCCCTCCACGTACCCCCCGCCCCCCCCCTTTCGCCCCGCGCCCTGCGAGATCGCCGGCTGGCCAACTGCACCAAGCAGACCCGGCCCTTGCATGTGCGACGTGCGCGCCGCTCCTTGGCCCGAGGATCAGCTTTGCGGAACGGCGCTTCTGTGGAACGGGCTCCGGGCCTTTGTCGATCTTCACTGGGTCTTTGTGGCGCGAGCTCTGAGGCTCC